GGCCTTTGCGGGGACTGCGGGGTGACCGCTCCAGTGATGATGGGAAAATCTCTTAAGAAAGTGGAAGAAGCCTTCTGTTATATGGCAGAATCGTTTCGCACAGCAAACAAGTGGGATCATTCTGTGCAACAGCAGTTTTGTCGAGTTGGGGTGGGCTGTGTGTGGGGGCACAGAGGGGAGAGCAGTTCTACGTGGATGTAAGAGTGATAGAAGTACTACAGGTCTGTTGGCTTTAGTGGTTTTGTCTCAGATTTAATGTAGTTAGATGAGAACGACATCTGGTCTTGGTTCATGAGGGAATTTTCTTGGCGTGGGCTCAATGCAGTGTAAGTCCCTGATAAATCATCCGAAGCAATGACTGTAGCCTTTCTGGCAATTCAGCTTCAATAAGGTTGTTGTATGACGAGGTGTATGCAAGCTGTCAGCACAAATGAATCAATTCTGTGCAAACGGGATACTACTGAGCCTGTGAGCTCCAGAGGTATCGCCAGCATGGAAACACTACAGCCCAAGGCAATGTGAGTGCTGAGATGACACAGCCCAGTCGTCTTCCTAGAGAACGTTGTGACATTGAAAAGCCTGGGGAGCTGAAAGAAGCTTCAGCAGAACAAAGCTTTAGGATTTGCCGCGTCCATATGGCATCATCTTTTCCTGGGAAAAACTTCTTTCTATTTCTTTTGACGTGTCTACAGTTCTGTCGTTATGCCTCATTTGCACTGGTACATTCTGGGAAATCTAGTCAATAATTCCTTATGTCTGCTCTGAGAGCAGAGCACAGCATGACTTGTGGAGTCATCAGACTTATTTCTGTGGTTGTTCTGCACTCTGAGATGGCTTTATAATGACCTGAGATGTCACCAATCCCTGAATTTCAGACTCAGATGTATCTAACAGCGGATGAATTTCACCACGAACAGAAAAGGAGACTTCATCCATTTGCATGAAGCCTCTTGTACAATTTTAGAACTAGTCAGATCTGAAACGCAGAGTTGGTGCATTGCATGGAAAAGGAATAAGCCTCAGGCAAATCCGATCCGGAAGGGAAAGCTTGGCTGAGTAACTGCAGGGTAAATCCAACAGATTTGCCACAACTTTAGCGAGCTGCTATTGCACGAATTACAGTGAATAAGGGAGTGCTCCACTGAGCATGGCAACTGAAGTCAGCATATGTGCAGAGCAGTTTGGCTCTGAAAACCATGGAGGACCTGGTTTGCTTCTGAGCATCCCCTGAGTCTCTTTCTCAGGGCTGCCAGAAAAAAACCCTCGTCACTGATGTGCATCACAGAGGTGTAAAGCAGGGCACAGCAAAACTCACTTGCTGGTTCTTCAGGAGGATGGGAAAGGCTTTAAGGAAGGAGGATCCCCTAATAAGGGATTGTTCAGAAGTTGTGCAGTTTGTGTCCCAGGTGCAGCAGGCTGCTCACAGCCTGTGTGAGGGGCAGGTCTGGAGCTGTTTGCTTGGGACTTCAGATGCCGCTGTCTGTAGGTCTGTAGCATCGTTGGGATGAGCTGCGCCTCAGTGCATCCCATCAGGCGCCAGGGAGGAAAGGAGCTGTCTTGAAATGAGCTGCACTCATAGTGGTAGAGGAAGAGGAGTGTATTTTTAGAGGCTGCTGCAACGCCTTGCTGTCAGAGCAGCAGTGCTCACTGGCAAGTTAATCCAAACAGCAAATGCATCATCCTCTGTTTCATATGAATATACAGTGATAATGAGCAGGAGGGAACATCTTTCCCCATCTCCCCACAGAGCAGGGAACACGGGAGAGACAGGAACGGAGGGGTTCATGTCAAAGCACTTCAGCACACTTTGTCCTCAGTGTTTTAGCCAGCCGCTGCATGCAGTTTTATATTTATGAACCTGTACCAAGGGATTGTTGATAGGTCTTTAATTTCCTTTGTTTTTTGCTCTGAACAGGCCCTCTCTGGGGGCAGTAGGAACATTTTCAGAATTACTGAGCATCATCTCTGTGCAAACCAAAGAGAGGAAAAGCACTCTGATCACAACCATGGGGGGGGGGGGGGGAGCAGTCAGTTTTCTGCCTGCCAATATATTTTTTTATTCTTTTTGTGTGTGTGTGTGTGTGCATGTTGTGAGTTTCAAGGTCAGCTGGCTCCACAGATACAAATATGCCAAGAACAAAATGTGCCAATGTGCCAGGAGTCAGGGACACAGAACAGCTCTGCAGACAGAGCTGGAGCGTGTCCAGCATCATCAGGCCATGGGCACACAGGAGTGTTGGTAAAGAAAGGCACTTCACTGCAGGGATATCAAGATTTATCTTTTCTATCCATTGTAACATTAAATGTGAGTTATTTGCATTCGTGTGTGGAAAAGCCTGCATTCTGCACAGTGTCTTCATTTCATTTGGAAAAACAGAGGGGTTTCATTCGTGTACTACAGAACCCTACAGCAGTATCTGAGCACGTAATTGACATCGTGGTTCCCTGAATAACTGACTGGAGCAGAAATCAGAATATTGGTTCTTTTCTCCATTGTGCTGCTGATTTATTGTGTAGATAAAGACCTTTCATTGTAGCTATTGCAAGTTCCCATACACGCTCTCATTTTCCTCCCATATATGTTTCCTTTTGTCAGTTATTTGCTTGAACTACATAACAACCAGTCAGGCAAAAGCTGCAAATATCTTTGTCGAGCAGTCTTTGGCAGATTTAAAATATTAATGCATTTTATAGAGTAGTTATTTTTTATAACTGTCAGTTGTTGCTACCAAGGCAGGGAATTCCTTATAAATATTGAATGCTGCTGCAAGGTCTGGGGAAAAAAAAAGTTCTGGAAATGTTTCTCTTAAGCTCCAAAATGACTGAAAAACTGCTGAAAAATCTTCCTGATGTTTGCAAATGAGGTGTAAATCCAGGAGATCAGGAGTTAGCTGATACTAATGGAATTTTCTAATAAACACTCACAGCTTTTGAGTGTAATAGATCCTTGCAGACTGCTTCCTGGATATGGACACGCTAGGATTGAACAAATGGTTTTGTTCTTAAAGGCTCTCTCGTAGTCGTTGTAGCAAGGCACGTCTCAGTAATCGCCTTGAGCTTCTGTTGTAAGGGAACAAACTGGGAGGAGCTCACAGCCCAGCAGCTCCAGCACTGCTCTGCCTCATCACCTGAATGCATCTGGGGTGCAAGGAGAGGGCAGCACTGGGAGATGCCATCTGCACAGTGTCCATTTGGTGGCTAAATAGAGGCCTTTTGTCCCCAGGGCTGCTGGGCTGCTGGTTTTTTTGTGGTGCCAGGTGTGCACACGTGAGATTAAACAGTAATAAAATGGCTTCACTGGAGTCAGTGAGGGTCACCATTCCTGCGGCCAGAGTGGGGATGAAAAGAATCCAGAAGTGAACTCAGGTGACGACATCTGGAACCTGCTGGAAGAAATGCCAAGTTGCTTTTAACTCCTAAGAGTGCCTTACAAATGGCATTAAAGTATTCCAGCTAAATAAACTGGAATGATATTCACTGCCTAGAATTTATCTTCAGGATATTATCTTTGCACCTGAGATTTTGCCTTCTCCTGAGTAACCATGAGATATGCTGGCAGTGGTTTATTTGGAGATCTGCCTGATCTTCAGTCAGTGCAAACTGGAAGGTGTCTGTTGAAATAATGAAAACAGTGCAGAGATTCAGAGTGTAAGAATAAGGAAACAGTGCTGCACTGATCTGAGATGCTCAGGGCATCGTTGTTTCATAGGAAGTAGCACTCCTGGATGGCAGGTGCATGCCCCTTGTTGGGGCTCCTAGCTGTGCCATAAAGCAAAATTTAGCCTATTACAGTCCCATGCAAAAACATTTGTGGACTTCCCTGCAATCCCTGGTAGATTCCTTGCAGTTAAATGGAGGAGCTGCCAGCAGTGCATTGCAACTGCTGCAGTTTCTCATTTGTTTCTGAGCTCGCAGGCAGCGTGCAGCCAGGAGCCCTGGGGTGGTGATTTGTTCACAGCAGGGATGTGCCATGAGTGTGTCAGCACACACGCCCCCAGGCAGAGCCCCTCACCGGAGCTTTCTGGCCCTGCAGCTTCACGGCTCGAGTGAGAAGTCTTGTCTCTGGGTGCCCTTCAGCCTTAAGTTCTGCTACACCTACATAATAAGGGCTTAATTACTGTTAATTGTAATGGAACTGGACTAACACACTTAACTCCAGAAGTTAAAAGACATCAAGTGTGTGTTGGCTGGTGTGGATCATGTTCTGCAGGAGCCCCAGACAGCTGTAGGATGCGCTGTCTCCTTCCCTAGGTTAGCATTAGCTCTCATTATCATATCAAAGGAAAAGGCAAGCAGACTCCTCCGCACACGCTTAACTGAGATGCAGGAATTCGGGTTTATTGCTGGTTTTTTCTTCCCGTTCTTTCCTACTTCCCAAATTTCACTTTGAGTTTGGGGTTTGAATGAGCCCGGGAGCACAACAGACCTCGAGGCAGAGGGGTGACGGTCACTGAATTTGGATCTGCTTGAAAGCTCTGCTCCCATTCAGCTGAGAGCAACAGGGAAGAGTGGAGGTGGATGAGATGATTTTAGAGATGATCTTCCAGCATTGGCTCTTACGACTGGCTCTGTTTCCTCCTGGTGGGATGGTGGGCTGATGGTTGACAAACAGGAGGAGACTGCCTTGTTCCAGAGATCAAACTGCACAGCAAATTGAAATGTTCTCTGGAGTTGCTGAGCCCTCTCCTTTCAGCACACGTAAAGCCATTGAGAGCTACCACTCATTTCAGGGCAAAATACAGATTCTGTCACTGCTGCTCAGACTTAAATCTGCCCCTTTGGGTAATAAATGCCATGGGCTGGTCTGTGCCTACTGTGGTGGATGGCTCATTTATGTGCAATGAAACCTTAAGGAAATGGAGCTTAATCCAACACAAATCCAAACTATGGTTTGCTGTATGACAGCTTTCTATATACATAATGGCCTCAGGGAGCTATTTTGTTACACCTAAAAGAGAGTAAAGTTTGCTCTTCCAATCCTGTTCTGTTTTCAATTCCAGGAACTGAGCATTCTGCTCTGCCATGATTTCATCTCTGTCAGAGGCCCTATGGGCCCTGGGAGCAGTGAAGCACAGCTGCTGGAGCTGGAGATCACCCCCAGCAAAACCAGAATATTGCACCAAAGTGAAATCTGTGTCCACGCGCTCCAGGTAATCCATCCCTTTCTATTGCAAGGCTCTGATTTAGATGTGATCTGGTACTGCTGTCTTTTGCAGTTAGAGAGGAGAGAGCATGGCTATTTAGACTTGGACCACTGTATCCTAAGCGATGCTTTCTGAGGTGAATTTCATCCCAAACAGTGGGAGAAGTTTGCCTCCTTGACTCAGAAGCATTCCCTCTGCATTTCCCTGTTTCTATGCTGGTCTGAGAATAATGCCAAGCTGTACTACCATCACATGTGAAATCTGTCCTGCAGCAATCTGATACCCAGAATAATTCATTATGTTCCAAGCTCGTGAGGCTCTTAGCAGCTTTTAAACCACATTAGTAAGGGCACGTTGATGCCAGTGAGTCACAAAGTGTAGTTTTCAGATCTGCCTGATCTTCAGTCAGTGCAAACTGGAAGATGTTGAAATAGGGCAAACAGTGCAGCGATTTAGAGTGTAAGAATAAGGAAAGAAAATTCAAGTAACAAAACTCCATCAAGATGCACACACAAGGACCATGCAGAAGGTAAACAGTGCTTGCTAGGAGGCTCCTGGTGGACCTCTGAAGTACATCAAGCACTGCTGCTCTGTCTTTGCTGTGCTTATTAATGCCCCTGGTGCATCACACCCTGGAACAGCAGCAGCCTCACAGCACGCCCTGCTCTGCCATCTGAGCACAGCACGGTGTGATTGCAAAGAGAAGCACCAGGATGATGCAGCTGCTCATGAGCTGATGCCTCAAGAGAGGAGAGGTCTCATTTCTAGCTGAATAATGCAGGTGGAGTGTTGGGAAATACAGCTTTCTGCAAACTCACACACCAGCGGGAGCTGGGAGAATCCACTTTAAACCCTTCCTTTATTTGCAGAGAAATCAGTGACAGGACACGGTGCCAGCAGATGGCAGTGCCTGTTAGCAGTTTCACTCGTGGCAAGAGAAGTAGGATTTTACTCAAAATGCAAAAGTTTTTATTTGCATTGCCTAGAACTGTGCTAATTCCAGCATGTGGGTGAGGCAGTGGTGCAGCTCAAGGTGGGAAAATTATCAGCATATAATGAGCACTCTGGAAGACCCCTCCTCTGGGTGGGTAGGTGAGCTGCATTGGATAAGTGTGGGGGGATGTGACAAGAAAGGCTTCTCCTGATGTTGCCCACATCATATCAGCTCTGTTACTCTATGGCTGCTGGCAGAACTGTCCTTTGCAGCACCAAGATTCATTCTATACCTTATTAAAAGAGGTGAAATAAGCAGAGTTAGTGCTCCTGTGAAGCATGTCTTTATTGCTGTAGGGAAGCAGTATGAAGCAACTCTTGAAAGGGAACGTTGTAATTCTCATGGGGACTGACTCCCATGCTCTGTGAGTTAATGTTTGGTTGGTTTAACTGTTTATTTAAAAAAAAATAATCACCAACAGCCACAACTGTTCACATCAAGCCAAAGTTTTATAAGGATCCTTCACGTATCATAGGCATAGTCCTGAAAGGTAAAATACGTACCAATGGGAGAACAAAGAGTGTTCCTAATGATTGTGAGCAGGCAGAAGATCTAATGCAGGGAGACTTCATCCCTGTACAGTAGGATCAAAATAGAAATTTATTTCATAGATGATATGTAACTTTGAAGACACAGAGTATTGTGTCACAGCAGAAAATGGAAACAAATGCTGTCAGTTTCCAGTGCTACTGATGCATCCCTGTGTCATGATGTGATTTTGACGAGCTCTCTTTCCTGGCCCAGAAAATCTTCTGTGGAAGCATTTCTGATGGGCTGTAATGCACGTGGCTCCTGAAAGAGGGAATTAGGGAGGAGTGGAGGATGAGAAGTAAGGAACAGAGCAACAAAGCCTGAAGGCAACCTGCACTTTACATACGCTGCTGGCCTGACATTTGCTTTTCAGAAGGGGAAATATTTACGAAGCTAGGGAGAAAGTGTGGTATTATCAATGATAAAAAAGACAGAAAAAAGCACGTGTGCTCCCTGCTAAATGTGCGGCTTCTGCATCCTTCCCATTCTGTTTTACAGCAATCACTGAATCTCAGGACTTGGAAGGGACCTCTGGGGATCATCCAGCCCAGTCGCTGCTAAAGCAGGTTCCCTGCAGCAGCTTGCGCGGGACCACCTTCTGTCTGTGTGATTTAAAACAACGGGTTTTTTTCTTTTCCCCACCCACTGGAAAAGGGGAAGAGAAGAAAACTCGCTCAGTAATGCAGGAAAAAAGAAGCCAGGCATTGAGAGAGCGGAGAAGCAGGCGGCTGGGTGGAAAAGTAAGCCCAGCGCTCGGGGAATTGGCGAGGAGGGCGACGAGCACGCGGTGATGGGCAGCGCAGCGCCTCGCCTTTTCTCAGGCACCGAATCCGCCCCTTCCCCCCTGTGCAAGGCAGCACTAAACCCCTCCCTCCGCGTCCCCTCCCGCCGCCTCTCCCTTCCCCTTTCCCGCTCGTTGCAAGGGATGCTGCTCCTCTCTCTGCCCCGGGGGAGCTGCGTGCAGCCAGGACGTCATTCCGGCCGGGAGGAGGAGCGGGGCGGGCGGGCGAGGAGCTCCCCGTGTCAGCCCGACAGCGAGAGAGCCCGGCGCCCAGCGACGGGGGTGTGTGATTGTAGCCGTACGGTGCCACATAAATGTTTTGCGATGCCGGGCCGAGGGAGGGAAGGAGGAGACGGCTCCGGGATCGGAAGAGCCCCGCAGCTTGCTGGTGATGGCATGGATCGGCCGCTCCTCCGGCAGCTGCGCTCCACGCCTCTCGGTGCGGTCACCGCCCGGCATCCCCGAAGTGCCGCGGCACGAGACTGATGCAGAGCTGCTCTCAGCAAGTAAGTTGCCTCGTTGTGTTTGCTTCGTCGGCTTCCTTGCTTTCCTCTCTGGCTGCTGACAATCAGCAGTCCAGGAGGCAGGAGGAGAAGGAGCTGAGCCTGAAGTCTCTGTGCCCAGCCCTGCCGGGTCACAGCTGGAGACGTGCTGCTGTCTTACTTGTTGGCTGCTGGGAGACCGTGGGAAGCCGGGGATTAGATGTGGATTTTGTGCAAAGGCACTGTCAGATGTAGCAGAGGTGTTATGTAGGAAAAGGCATCATAAATGATGGAGTGCCCCGAAACCAGATTAGTGGAAGTCGCTGGAATACAGCAGGTTGGAGCAGACCGGTCGTTGAACAACCCTGAGATGCGTGGAGTGACTGTAATCCTAACCTGGAGTTAAGGATTAAATTCTTTTAGAATTAGGACACTTAGTAGCCAGATTGAGTTCAAAGAACCCTTACAGCGTAATACTCAGACAATGAATTGGCATGATCAGCCCTAAAGGGAGGCAGACCATTTAATGCATTGGGAATCTCGAGAGGTGTTAATTGCCCCGTGAACTAAAACCCTGACTCGTTATGTACTGACACTGAGCAAATAGTGCCCAGGAGCCCGTGCTGTTGTGTTAATTCATGCTGCTGGGAGTAACATGCTAACTTTTATACAACATCTCTGCCATTTGTTTTTGACCTGAGAGTTTCAGAAGCCAATCAAGAATTGCCAGAAGTTGTCCCTGTTTCCAGAAGCTTGAAGCTACACGGCTTTCTGAGGTTTGGTAATCAAGCAGGTCATCAGTACACTCCTTTCCTTTGGAGAAACTGCCTTATAGTTACAGATGGGTGGTTTGGAGGGAAACAAAGCTGGCTCCTCTGAGCAGTTCTCTGAGCAGTCCAAGCAAACATCATCTGTGGGAATTGTGTTGGGGGAGTTGCTTTGTTTTTGGGGTCCAATTCTTTCCCCTATTGTTCCTCATCAGGTGGAGATAAGGAATCCGGATCATTTTTGGTTTCCATCAGAGAAAGTTGTCCACCTCTGGAAAGTTCCAGCCTTGTTAGTTACAGGCTCTGAAACAGGCAAACAGACTTTCAGATTCATGTTCTGAGACATATCTGAGGACCTTTATGAGTCACCCACTTCCTATTCACATGGAGGTTGGGAGAAACACTTGGTGCTTGGGATGATGCTGGCACTTAACCAGCCGTTCGGTCTGAGGTAGATCACTTTGTCCCTCAGTGACTCATTTTCTTTTGTCTGCAGTTCAGCGGCACTGTTAGACCTCTTCGGGTGGAAGGAGCTGATATTTGGCCAGTTCATCTTGTAGCTGTTTGGCTGCAGGTTGCTGTAGGGGCGTGAGGTGGTGGTAGCATCCTTCAGTTTTGTTTCCTTTTTAAGCCAGCTGCAGGATTGCACAGTAAATGTCAGTTGTAATAACGGTGCAATATATGAACAATGGAGAACAGGAATGCTGGTGCTTTTGGAGCAGTATTTTCTCATAGAATTGAGGCTCTGCATACCCCAGTACACACACAGTGTGCCATGGGTAGACAGCCAGGAACAGCAGTGTCTCATCAGAACAGGACTGTCTGTTCACTTGTGTTTGTCGAAAGGTAACAATCACTTTTGCAATGACACCTTAAGGTCTCCCTAAAAATAGTCTGGGGTGAAAGGACAGAGAGGCTGCAGAGTGCCTCAGGCACAGCAGCTCCCTTGGAGATGCAGAGATCAAATTGGTTTGTTTTCTGCATTTATTTGTTGATAAAGAATGTACCGTTTGGCTATTCAAAATGGGTTCAGAACACCCAACAGCATAATATTATGAATCCATCCTTTGCACACAGACTTTTCGTGCTCAACTTGTATAACTCCAAGAGGTATAATTGACTGCTGACATCCTCCCCTCCTCCCTCTGTGTTACACTGGGGAGTGGGCAGCCCTGGTGCTGTGGGAACTTCCTGTTCTGTAGCAAATTGCTGCAGCCTCCACACTGCTGTCATTACGACCTGTCCTGGAAGCCTCAAAAACAACACAGCCTTCATTTTCATTACAGTTTCAGTTTTTCCATCCTTTTCTGCATTGGTCTGAAGCTGATATACTGTGTGGGATTTGTTTATGCATATTGAGAGGAAATATCTGTTTGAAAACTGTAGCAAATCCTGAGAAAGAAAAGGTGTTTTCTTTTTCTGGAACTCACTCTTCCAGTTTTGAAAAAGTTCACAGTAAAGACAGCAGCATTATTATTATTTTTTGCCATTAGGAATAAGCAGGCCAGGTTATCCATGCTAGTAGATAAGGTTCTGTAGGCTTTTCCAAGTAATCTCTGGATGCACCAAAACACAGGAACTGCTGCTGCTCTGCTGGGAGGTGAGGTGACTTCAGGCACACGTTGGGGATTTGGGGATCTGTAGCTGCCATTCCTGCCACAGGTCTCCCATTGCAAGAAGCAAGCATCTCTGTTTTGCTTCCCCATCCTGATAAATGGCAACCAGAGCACTTCCTTATTGCACAGATATTAAATAATAATCATAATAACAACAATAAAAATTAAGCACGTTACTTGTAATGAGCACTGAAACATTTGGATGCTCTGAGGGCACATCACTGCCTCACAAATGACAACAAAAGGGCTGAGGGATATTAGAACTGTGATTATTGCAGGGGAGAAAAATAGGCTGGGAGGTACTGAGCAGATGAAGATGAGACACAAATGCCCATAAATTCAGTCTTTGTGCCATAGTAACTTCCAACCCAGAGAGATTTCCTTACGAGGGATTTTGTTTTGAAAGAACGAACACCTTCTGCAGCCATATTTCTGAGCCTAAAGAACCCCAGGCAGACAGGTCAGGAGCTGAGTGAGAACGCACCCCAAAAAGCAGTTATTGGGCTGAGGAGCATTGGGACCACACTCTTATTAGTGAAGTGTCACAGATCTCTCTTGTGCAGTTTCCTAAAGTGTCCTACCTTGGTTTTGGGTAGCATTCCTTCACCTCTAGATCTCCAAGCACTTTGTAAAGAGTCTTTATATCCTCTATTTATTTGTCTATTTCTAAGGAAGATGGTATGAATTGCACAAGATACCACTGGTGATCTGTTCAGTGTGTACTGCTGTATTGGTTGCTTTTTCAGCAGTGCAGGGCTCTTCATCTTGGGAAGCAGGTGATAGAGAGAAGTAAAATCCTGGCTTGGGGAAATGGGAGGGTTGCTAAAGAACAGCTGCTCATTTATTCCCATGACATAAGGTGACACAGGCAATGGGTTTGAAGCAAAGAGTAGGAAGTGATTTTCTACCCAGACTTAGTGACAAATTCCTACATCCAAACTCCTATTGCCTGCAAGGTTAGACCTCTCCAAAGGCAAATCCTATCCATGTTGAAACATGCGCTTACCCAAGTGAGATCAGCAATTATCTAAATGGAAAAAGTCACCATGGCCAGCAGGGGAAAAACCCCTTGCAGGCTTTGTTAGGTTTGCCTCCTGCAATGTCTTCAGCAGATGTTAATCACGAGCTCTTGGGACTGTCAGGAGGTACATCAGCACTGTAGGATGGGCTTGTAGAGAGCTCTGCAGAACAATGCCTTGGGAAGATATGGACAAACTCCAGTGTGACCCTGCTTCTGCAGAGCCAAGAGCCCAAATGTCGCTGCCTGCCCCCAAGTCTGTCTGGCTAAAGCTGAGCAACAGCCAGTCTGATAAAAAGCCTCTTTGCAAGGTTGATAATGCAGTGACTCACATCTTCTTTTGCAGCTATCTGTCCAAAAGGAAAGCAGCTTTGTACGAATGTGACATTTTTATTATCCTAGCCCCATTTAACCAAAGATGGTAAATGCCAGTGAAGCAGGATGGCGTGCGTGATGGTAAGAGGCAATTCTGTGTCACAGATCTCTTTGCTGGATGGAGGAATGGTTTACAAACTGAAGTCTAAATCTCTGTAAGATGCTTACACACAATTACCAGCACCTGGAAAAGATGTGTGTGCTTGATGGCAGTATATCATGCAGTAGAGAAGTAAATCAACTCCTTACATAGGGACAGTGGTCCTCTTTGGTGTCTTGTCATCCATCATAAAACTCCCCAGTGCAGTTGAACTAACAAGGGAATAATAGTGAATTTCCTATTAGATTTTTCTGCCTCGGATCTCACAGACTGTATTTGTATCACAGATTTTGCAGTTGGGAAATTAAGGAAGAGGGAGAGGCAGTGATTTGCTCTGAATTAGAGAATAAATACTGCAGGCATTTGTAGCAGAAAGCTGGATAGTCTTCAGGCCCCCAAACCTGTGCTCAGAGATTCATGTGCTTAATTATTTTCAGTAACCACATACTGAGTTCCCACTGCGACGGGAGAGCATTAAATCAAATATTAGCAGAAGCTGTAAGGCTGCTGCAGCTGTCAGTAAAGTTCATTTACAACAGGAATTTCGTTGCTTTAATGGAGCACTTGTGAGGTGCTCCTAAAGATTTCCAGACAGATTTCTCTTGACCTATTGCTAAAGATCAGTAGCATTAGAAAAGTGGCGTTGCCAGTCCCCAGAGTGTTTTAGTGTAAGCAAGTCTCCCTGTATTTTCATTAATGGGCAGACCTTGTAGCTGGTTTCACCAGAGTGATATTTCTAGGGATTTAGTCCTTATGATTATTTTTATTCTACTCTGATCTTTTTAATATGTTTCCAGATCCTTTTGGTCTCTTGGGTATGAATCTGAAATATGGAACCTTACGCTATAGATGAATGTCTTGAAATCAGTTGTTCTCTCCTTTGTAGTTTTAGTGTGAAATTCAGTTTTAATTTTAACTTCTATAACATTTCTTAAAATAACAAAATTCTTTTTAAGATTGGAAACCTGCAACATTTGCCTGCTTTCACACTTCTACACATATATAGATGGATCCAAATCTTGAATCCAAATGGAGTAATGGATTGATCAAACAATACAAGGAGCAAAAGTGATATTGCTGAGGAGGAAGCAAAGAGGCTGTCTGTATCAAATTCTTTGGAGATCAGTGATGGGATGCTTTCTCTCCTATTAAAAAGCAAAATGAAAGTTTCTGGTTGTTCTGACTTGCACTTGGCATAGGGCATTGCACGCTGTGAGGTGTCGGTGTGCACCCTTATATCTCACAGCTCAAGCAGCCTCTCACACAGCATGTAAACAGATGTACACCAAAAGGCAGCAAAGAGCCACACCAATGTCTGTGGGGATTTGAATTTGTAAAAACTGGTAGAAAATGACACGAGGAAATGTCTAAATCTGCTGCTAGCCAGCCCTGAGAGTCCTCTGCAGAGAAGGAATGTGAGGACAGAGGTAAGGATTAATATCCTGCCCAAATTCTTGGTGATACTGTTAGAGAAAGAGAGCAGCACAGTGCTGGGGTTACCTAAGCGTGTCTATGATGTCAGGCAGTGGGCACAGCAAACTGATTCCCTGAGCTTCCCATCCCAGATACACGAATCCCTTCTGCTTCCCCTTCCTGTGACTGCACTGCCCCAGCCCTGCCTCAGACCCTTCCAAGCAGGCAGCTTTGCCAGCAGAAGGAAGCGCTGGGGCTGCGCTGCGGACAGATGGCCGGACTCCCTGGTGGATGGAGCCAGCAGGGACGGTTCCAACAACAGGCTCTGGCTGTTTCAGTGGGGTAATGATTGATGGTGACTTGTAACAAGGGAGTAGAGCAGTTCTTTGCTGTTAACCAGACTTGGCTACAGCAGCACAGAAGTGGAGATTTGTTACTTTGTGTATTCATCCTGCCTCTGCTTCCTTCCTGCCCACCCTTCGTGCTTTTTAATTCTGAAAAGATGAAGCTACATTCCTCGTCCTTAAAATTATCTTTCCCAAGATACTCTTAATTGTATCTCTACACCTCTTCTTATTCACAGGCTCATAAGAAGATTAAAGATAGAGGGAGCAGTAATAGATTTAGTTGGATTTTAATAGGATTTGCTGAGGGCAATGCAGAGAATGAACATCATAGAGAATATTGCTACCCTATCTTTGATATTCCTAAGGCTTCTCAGGTAGTCTTTCACAGAGATTTTATCTGTGCCCTGCATTTAGAGTGGAGATTCTCATTTTTCTGTGGAGCATGTGTGGGTTTTTTTCTTTAGAGGTATATTGAATCATCTGAGTAAACAGGATGCTACATGATAACCAGCAAAAAATCATTTCAGACATCATTTTGTATTGTTTGTATCTGATCAAGCACAGTTTTGCATGTAGACCGTGGGTTTTTAAAAGCTGTTACATTTCTGAAAGTGTCTGCTGTTTGTCTGGCATCAAATGAGGTAGAAGAGCTCTCATCTATTTGGTTACCAGTAGGCCTGGATCCATCACACCCATGGACACACAGTTGAAGATGCTGAACTAAAAGCCTATTTCACCTCTGGAATTCAGGATCCCAGAATAATTTGTGGAAGGCAGTGAATGTACCCAGAAGGTGAATCAGTACATCTGAAATCTGCATTATCCCTGGAGGTTCTTTACTCTGCTGACTGTAAGGGAAACCTTGATGAATAATTTAGACTTGTGTGAGATTTAGGTAGGCAGTAGTGCAGAGAATTTCTGTGCATTTCTAAGGCTTCTCTTGGTACCCCAGACCTGAGGCACCAGGAAAATCCAATCCCTTTTGAGAGCATACATCTTTACAGCTGTACTTTGCTTCTGGTTGTGATCTCTGAGAAGTTTTGGGTCTAAAACAAAGAAACAAGTGAGCACCATGTAAGAAAAGTAAAGGAAAACCAGAAAGTTTCATCAAGGAAAACATCACCCAGTCCATTCTCAGTTGCATGTTTCAGAGGTCCAGTGATGCAATAAGTGAAGTGGCAGGCAGCCTCACAGGGACTGTGTGCTATGGATCAGTTTTTAACACCCCGTTCAGCACAGTGCTGTATTTAGCAAGGGGATGCTGGCAGAGAAGCCCTTCAGAGTGCTGTGCAGATCAGTACCAGGAGGGAAGGTGTGACTCGAGCAAAAATCTTTCCCAGTGCAAAGTTAGCCTGTTATCCAGCCCTGTATCAGCATGCTTTGTCAAGGCAGTTTTAATGTTTGCACTCCCTGTGGTCCTGCTCTGTCTGTAGTGGTTCACACAGCACGATGATTTGGTGGTTGTCTCGATTCTCTCCCTCTGATCTTAAACTTCATTTCTTTATTCTCCCCCAGCCCAGCCATGGCCAGAGATTCTAGGATCTTCATGAACCAGGACATGGACATCGGAGTTGCATCCAGAGAGCCTAAGAAGATTCCCAAGCAGGCTCGGGATGACGTCCCCATCGCCACTGACAGAACCAGGCTCATAACAGCAGAAGGTAAGAAGCCACGGCAGCGATACATGGAGAAAAGTGGCAAGTGCAATGTGCACCATGGGAACGTCCAAGAAACCTACCGATACCTGAGCGACCTCTTCACTACTCTGGTGGACCTCAAATGGCGTTTTAATCTTCTTGTCTTCACTATGGTCTATACCATCACTTGGTTGTTTTTTGGGTTCATATGGTGGCTCATTGCCTATATCCGGGGAGACCTGGACCATCTTGAAGATGAAAACTGGATCCCTTGCGTTGAAAATCTCAGTGGATTTGTTTCTGCGTTTCTCTTTTCTATTGAAACTGAGACTACAATTGGGTATGGCTACAGGGTTATAACGGAGAAGTGCCCAGAGGGCATTGTGCTGCTCCTGATCCAGGCTATTCTGGGTTCCATAGTCAACGCGTTCATGGTGGGATGCATGTTTGTCAAGATCAGCCAACCAAAGAAGAGAGCTGAAACCCTCATGTTTTCTAACAATGCAGTGATTTCCATGAGGGATGAGAAGCTCTGTCTCATGTTCCGTGTTGGAGACCTCCGCAATTCCCACATTGTCGAGGCTTCCATCAGAGCCAAACTGATTAAGTCCAAACAGACCAAAGAGGGAGAGTTCATCCCCTTGAACCAAACAGATATCAATGTGGGATTTGACACTGGAGATGACAGATTGTTCCTGGTGTCGCCTCTTATCATCTCACATGAAATCAATGAGAAAAGCCCCTTCTGGGAGATGTCCCGCACCCAGCTGGAGAAGGAAGAGTTTGAGATTGTGGTCATTCTGGAAGGGATGGTGGAAGCAACAGGTAAGCACTTGTCAAAGTCAGTCCCAGTTCTGAGGGAGAAAAGGGAGAAATTTCACTGAGATCATATTGGGGTTTATCATTCTCTTGTGAATCATTTGGGTAAGGGATCGTCGTCTGATTTGGACAGTGATTGAAAGAGAGGTCCTTTAGCTGACACTGCAGTATTTGGGGTCACACAAAGGAGTTAGATGAAGAGCTGTCCATAATCAATTAGAATAGATCCATGGGAAAAAAAAGGAATGAACTGAACGAATCTTTGAGGTCTTGTGTGGTTCTGTTTTCTGTGATCAAAATTCATGCTGCAAATCCTTTTCCATTTCTCCTCAGTATTAAAAATTGGCTGCAACTCTGTTATTTCAGATACTGCTGTGGTGTTGCTACTTAATGGAGGCTATGAAGGAAGTGCCCCAGTATTACAATATCCCATAAAACAGCGTGTGCTGAAACTGGATGACTTACACATGATGCAGGACATGTATTTAAAAAGCAGCTCAGAGAGGAAAAATACCAGCTGTTTAACAGCATAAAACAATTCTGTGCAATAGGCAGATCAGGAGATATGCTCAAGTGATTCCCAGTTTCCTCCTATGGGTGTATTTGTGGTGGGCAATGAAAGAAATCTGCTTTCATTTAAAATGAATCTGGAAAAGCTGCGTGCCTCAGCCTTTCAAGGTGTGTAAAAGGGATATGGCAGCGTGCCTCTCACAGGGTGAGAGGATGGATATCTGCAAAGGCCCTCCGTGTCCTTCCCACTGCAGTGCATCCCTGTGGGGCACAGCTAATGGAGAAGATGCTTTTACTCTGGAGTCATACCTAAAAGACAAGGCGTAAGGGATCATTTTCCCACTTGCAGCTAATTCATTTATTCTAGGCATTGAGAAAGAGCCAACAGGGAGCAAGTGATTTTAAGCAGCCTGAGATGCTGATGCTCCCTTCAGGCAGGCTTTCTCAGCCTGGGGTTGGCAGCGTGCCGTGGTCAGATCAGGGTCCTTAAGGGCAATGGGACTGCAGGCAGCAGAGAGGAGCAAATTGCTGTCTAGAGATGTGGGAGCCTAGAAAGACTCAAAGATTCAGAAATGCTTTTATGAGTAATTTTGCCCTTTGGCATTTAAGGATTTTTGTTACAAGGCTGCTCTGAACCCAAGTATTTTTTCATCTTGTTGAAGCACAGGTTCTCTCTGAAACACTAATATGGGGTTTCTGCTTTCTCAATGGCATCAGCATCCTGTCCCACAGATTCTGCCCTTTGCTTACAATTGATATTATCCCTTCCTTGTGATTTGTCCCTGTTGGTCTCCAAACAGCTGAATGTAAGGAGGAATAATCTTTCCAAATCCTGCATCCCAGAACCTCAGCCCCAAAGATAGCAATCTAGAGAACTCTGTGCCCTAATATCTCCCTATAGTCATTAGTGCATAGCAATAGGTGAGCATTTATGACAGCTAATTTGTGGTTATGCAGACTGCACTGTGCTTAGGTTGGAGTTCTGTATTGTATGGGTGGAATTCATGCGGCATTGCTAGGCAAATATTCTTCGCCAGCAGAATTTTGTAGAGATGTGGCAAAAGAAGAGGGGGTGGAAAAGAATATTAAAGGGGAGGATTTGTAATGGGAGCTTATTTTGTAGCCTAAACAATTACCACATACTAGAACCACCTAATGTGAGCATGGAATGCAGTTCCTTGCATGTCCAAAGCCTCTTTCCTCATCACACCGTGACAACATCCAATTCTGTTTCAACAGTACTGCTCTGCTGTCCTCCTATGAGAGCTCAGTTCCTGCTGGATGTGTGTGAGGGGAAGTCATTATCAGCAACAACCTTAAAATTAAAAGCATGGCATAGGAATAATATTACTTTACAAATGGGCTCCTTTCCCAGAGGGATTGTGCAGGCCTGTGTGTAATGATATTAAGGAACAGACATCTGTGGAAACGATTTGTTATGGTCTCAAAGACACGTTGTGAAATTTCAAAACTGGGGCTAGGAGAGCCAGTTTGCACTGGGCTTAGAGCAGAGTGGGAGCAGACCTCAGCTGATGGTGTGATCTGATTCAGAGGCTGAAATGGTTTTCTGAATGGCACATGAGTGATGTTTTGTCTCGTTGAAAGTGGCTTGTGGAAGCACAGTGTTTCTGGTTCCCTGCTTTGTCCTTACTCTTCATAATCTTGATAAACCCATTCTGGAGGCTTTCATTGTGAAGACCCTCCCTTCGTATCATAACTTTTGCTCCTAGAAAATTCTTTTGGTCCTTTCCCTCCTATTGCCCAAGCCTCATCTGCTTTCTGGAATGGTATAATTTACCTGCAGTGCCACTTCTATTAAATGATGGCACCACTACAACCTGTTCAGGTTTTGGACAGCAAGAAAACACAGCATGCTGCTTGTTCCCTTAATAACCCCCTATTGGGGGGGCTATTAGACACATCCAGCTCTGCTCACAGTGCTCCAGAGCAGGCAGGTCCTGTGTGCAGCCTGGGGGAGATCAGCTCTGCAGTTTATTGGCAGGAGGGAGAACTAATGGAGACTCTCCCTGGCTGTAGAGAACAACAGCCATACCCTGCAATGGTGGGGGAAGATGGCTGTGTTTGATGAGGAGTTTGGGAAGGGGGCCAGATCCAACTGTGTTGTGATTGTCAATGTGTAAATGACCGAAGGAATTCTGAGCATCATCTCTGAGTGAATAACATTCAGTGAATAATCGTTGAGGAGAGCAATTTCATTGCCACAGCCTGTAGTTTTAGATAGCCACATGTTGTCCAAGAAATGCTTTGTCCTGCTCTCAGACAGGTAACTCTTACTGGCATTAAATTCCCATTCCATGGAAGGCAAAGGCAGTAAATAGTTTCAAATAAAAAGTGATTGTTAGTTTGTTTGTTTACAAAGAGAAACATTGTTTAAAAGAATGCTTCTATTTTCCACTGGGCTTGGATTTTTCAATAGGGTAAAGAAACTGAGGGTCACCAGCACATAGGAAGCACATCAGCCTGCCTGAAATGCTGGGTTTTCCTTTGGCTGGTGAAGAAAATAAACATTTTATTAGTGAAGTGAGAGTTCTCCAGGGATCCACAGCCATTGCACTCCCAACCTGTGCAGACAGCTGCTGCTCAGGGCCTTTCCAAGCATTATTTCAGTGTGGCTGTGGCACTGTGACTCCACAAGAGGTTAAGAGCACCAAAGGGAGGCTGCATTTCTGGGCAGATCTGTGGTGATCGTTGCTGAGTGAAATAACCACTGGAGGGACAAAATCAATATAGATGACAAGAGTTCTGACTTCACTGCTGCTTTGTGGGCATCCTGAAAGCAGCAGCTCTGCTCACAGTGCTCGCTTAATGAATTGGTCATAGAGATTACTTTAGGGAATTAATTCTCTCATGCCATATCTTAAAGAGACACTCGTCCAGCTGGCCCAAATTTGACCTGCAATAAAAGGAAAGAGAGCAAAGATAGAAAATCTGTTTGCCAAGTGAATACATTTTTGCTTTCACTGTCTTTCTGCTTCCCACAATGGCAAGAGAAAATCAGAACCATCCTATTGACAGAAGGGGGCCAGGCTGTTGTTGGCCATGTCTTGGCCTTGCCCTCCTGGTACTTCATATCAACCAGGGCTGCCAGGGTGTGCAAACACAGTGGGAATTCACAAACCTCTTCCATGTTGTCGCAGAGTCAGCTGGGTTGTGTGGTGAAGAAATGGCATAGGAATAGGTTCCATTTAAAAAAGCAATGTCACCATCATTCCGATTGATGGCATGGTCTACACACCAGAGAAGAGATCTTCTCTTCCAGCTTCGCCTTTCTGCTGCTATTTAGTGATAACTAACCAAGATTAAATGTACCAGTACCTGTCCTGTAAACCTAATTCTGAGTCTACAGTGTCCAGTGTTGCTCACATCTGGGCATCGAGACATTGGTGCATTGGTGTTTGTCACATCACCCTTCGTCTTCACTGGTTTTTGCTGCCCCTTCTCTCCACCTGCATTAAATACCACACAGTCGAAAGACCTGACTGAACAAAATTATAGTAAACACCTGGAAAGGAGAGGTAGATACATTTCTGACTGACAGTCTACATAAGTAAATATATATGTATGTAAGTAATCAGCCATGTGCCAGGATTCTGCATCTCAGTTCCTCATCTTGTCCCTGTGGGAATGCGGCCCTTTTGCATCTCAAACCATCCATCTTTACAGAGGATACAGTCAAATGCTGTGGCTTTATATGTAGGAGAAAAAGAAGCAGTTGCGACATAATGCATTCTGAAATTAGTCATGATTTTCTTGGGAGAACAAAGGAAGGCTGAAATAATAAGTGGATTTCATGCGTTCAGCATCTGGTTTGGGTTCTCTTTTTGTTTTGTTTAGCATTTTGCATATAAATACATTTTCTCTTCTGCAAGAAAGACCTTGCAGAACTGTTACAGGCAGTGCCTATGTAATTAAAGGCAACAGATAGACACCTGCAGTCATTGCTCTCACCACCCACACTGTGCTCCATGGGCAGACGTGGGCACATCTCTTTTCTTAGATGTCCCTGCAATCACTACGAATGCCTTTGTGAAGGGTCTGCAGCTATGGGTGTACCTGGGCCTCAGGTTCTGCCAGGCAGAGGGAAGGCCATCGAACTCAAGGTTTTCAAATCACAATGCCCTTTTATTATTTTTTTTTCCCCAATGCTTGGGAGCTTTTCCATGCCTGGAGAGCATTCAGAAATATTAAAATCCTATTACTCTCCTCTGGCATAAAAATCAAAGTGAATCAATCGTGGACATGTCCTCTTCTCAAAGAGACAAGCATGGATAATCGGAGGGCCATGCTCCTACCTTCTAATATTCCTTTTGAAGTTGGAGGAAAACTGACTTATTGGAGGTTGCAGTGTTCCTCGGTCTAATTAATGCAAAGGGACTAATAACTTTTATAACTATCCAAATGCTGATGCTAATTCAAAGACATGAATTTCTTAAATGGAGTGATAGAAGTAAATTTTTTATAGCTACTGCTTGCCGTCAGTCTGCTGTTAAAGCTCTGAGCCCATCAGTTCTTTCTCTGTACCCTGGTAGTGCAGCTGGAGCTCAGCTGAAGCAGCAGTCTGCACTGTGCAGCCTCAGTGCACCTGGTACAAGGGGAGAAATCAGCGTGTGCACAACAGCACATGAAGCGGGGGCCAGAGAGGTGAAATCACCTCCAGCAGTGTCTGTGGCTAAACTGCAGAGAGAGCAGAGCAAATACAGCAAACATGCAGTCAGCATCCACATGACGCGCTGCCAGCAGATAATCACTGAGCCTCGTGGCATTTAAATGAGGAGAGTTAATTTTAGGCTGATGAAAAACGTTGTCTTGACAGCCCCAGGGGTTGGGATGGCTGTACCCACTGAGGAAGTCCAGGCTGTGTAACAGTGCCAAACGATTCAGCTCTGCTGCTGATGCGATCCGATGGAAGCCTGCAGCCATTTCTTGGCTGGTGGGTCGTGCTTTGTGGTCCTCCTGCCCTCTCCTGTGAAACTGCCAATACTGGTATAGGCTGTGATGGTACATGTAGGGAAAAAACGACCTCTGAAGTTGCAGGGAGACGGCTGGTTCTTCTCTGGGCACCCAAACAGCCGCACAGTGCAGTTAGATTTGGCCCACGATAATGAAGTTTGATTTTAACTGGTGACTTAAGGGTAAGTAAGGCTTGGAAATGTGGAGTGCTTCTCCTGCAGCTTTTCCCCTTTCCATAGCAGTGAGGCAGAGCCAGCAGCCGCTGCTCCACTTGCATAATCAGTGGTGTTGCAAGCAGTGAAACGTTCTGAAATCTGCAGCTCTCATTGAGTGCATTGCAGAAAATATAGGCTCCTCACTGAGAGAGCCATCAAATAACTGTTTTTTGTCAGCATGTATTTACATGCCTTTGTCTTTGATAAAATGTAAGGTGCTTGATCCCTATTGATTTTGATGACAGAAAAGCGCCTTTTTGGTAGAGTTCCCTGATTCCAATTTTACACAGGAATCTTTCCTCAGTGACTCCGTTCTCGAACGTAATGAAACACCTGGTTCAACACACACTGCAATATATTGCACATCTTTTCACTGACTGCAAAGCAGAAACAAACCCTTCTGAACGCATGCCTGGCTGCTGTGAACAGGAGCATGCACAGACCCCATTGGTGATCCTGGTCAGCAGAACCAAAGTCCTTAGGGTTCCACTGTAATGAAATGATCATTAACACTCTATGAAATGCTGAATGCAGAACTTGGAACCAGGAGGCCCTTCTCCGGTCTCCAGCTATGTGAAAGGACTGGAGCTGACTCCAGCTTTACTGAAATCTTGGTGCGTCTGTTTGTAACTTTGTGCTTCTAAATTTCATCTGGTTTCAGTTCAAATTCAGTTTTGTTTGCAGCTGAAAGCTGAGCTCTGAAATGAGGTGGGTGAGGGAGGTGAAGCTGGAATTTGAAAAGTGAAAATTTTGCACATTTACACAGATGGCAGGCAGCACAAATTCATAGTAGGAATACTTCCTCATTTTGAAACCAGTTTGTTTAGGAGAAAATTAAACTTCTAATGGTCCTGGAAAAATCAATATGCTTGGAAAGTAAAAATCTCTGTGATTTTTGTTTGGATGTAAGTTTTGAAGCACATCTGCTTATGCTGACAAAGGGGAAATGAAGATATTCTTTGGCATGAAACGAGTTTGAATGAAATGCCCCAGTCACCAAATATTGCTTCCTTCCTTCCCTATAACTATACTAAATATCCACACCATTTAAACCTAAAGCATGTAATTATATCTATTTTAAGAAAAGCATTAGCAGCGTTATTCAAGACCAAGTATCGTACTAGGACTATTTTTGCAAGAAATCCAGGGTTTTTAGATCTCCCCCCGTTTATTGCATGCACTCTGCAGGGCAGCAGCACTTCAGACAGCTGCAGCAGGAGCTCACAGGGCAGGGCTGCTGCAATGGAATGGAATGGCAGCGGCCCACTTGGCGTGGTTCTTGATGGATGTGAGCATAGGATGTAATGATTTACTTCACCCATGGACTTGGACAGGCAAGGCTGATGAAGTAGAACTGCTGGTTTTTGCAGAGAGTGCAGAGCAGTGCACGAAAGGTGTGAGCCTAGTGAATAAATCAATCCCACTGCAAGACTGAATTGGACATCTACAGCACAGAAGGCAGAGTGCACATTGTATGCAAATGGGAGAAGGCTGCATCCCTGTGCTGTTAATAAAAGCAAGGTTTATTGTTTCCACACCTCCTCTGTCATCTTTCTGCAGTTACAAAGGCAGTGATTAGCCGGGGACATTACAGCTGCATTAATTAACCAGGCTGAAGAGCACAGGGCAGCTTGCAAAGCAGGCACTTAATGGAATTTGAGGCAGAGACAATGCTGTTGTTTACTGGGTAATGTAGGAGTTGCCAAGCAGTATGTCCCCACGCAATTAAAATACCACTGCACATGTGCTAAAAAGGAATATTTGAATGGGATTATGGAGCAATTACAAGTTGTCTTATTGTGCTGGCTCTGCGTACCCCTGGGGTTACAGAAAGCAGCTCCTGCAGGAAGCTGGCAGCGAGCAGTATTTGGTTGATGAAAGCTTTCTATTGTTCCTTCCTTAATTGAATATTTACAGCAGGAAATAACCATGATCGTGTCTCTGGAGTTCGGGTTCACTGTCAGGTTCTCCCCCAGTGGAGGAACTATTTCAGGCCGTGATTACAAGGCAGGGGTTCCCTTTGGATGCCTCAGACCCCTGCATTTAGCAAAGTCATTCTTTCTTGGCCTGGGTTCACAACGCCATGCCTGTAGGCAGCTCCTGGAAAGCCATGGTAGGAGTCAGCCTGTCTGCTCACAGCTCCTAGCCCTGTGAGTATCAGTGGCCTCTTCTGCATTTCTGGGCTTTGAAAGCACTTCGTAAGAGGCAAGTAAAGTCTTCAGCAGATCCTGCTTGTGCTCATGTCTTTATAGACTGCAGCAGCAAAACAAGAAACAAACTTCAGACTGTTCAGAGGTGGCTTTTTGAAAGGATAAGTTTTTTGATTACTCTGAGATTTCATCAGTCCATAGAGCTCACGTGGTGAGAACACAAACGCTCTTTCCTGAAGCATCTGACACCATTATTTTCCCCCTGTGCGTTATTTCAGATTTGTTTGCGTACTTCGGGCTGCAGGAGGTAGGCTTGGAAGCATTGGCTGCAAACTAGATCAAGTGCATGTTTTGAATGTATTCCAGTCAGGGCCATCACTGACACTCCAAAGGAGAACAGTGGGAGGGCTTTGTGAGGTCAGCATTTCTACATTTCACCAGAATGAAGAGCAAAAGCATAACACGTTCAGGATGAGCAGATGACAAATGTTTGGAACAGAAGTCAGCCTTGGCTTCTCAATCAGCTGGTGATTCCAGAGGAGGTCACTCCAGTGCTGAATCCTTATCTCTGCTCTGCAAAGCCTCTTTCAAAGTTTTCTAAGCACATAAACAAACTCCAATTCTTGGGGCTGAGAAGAAGCTGGACAAAATCAGTTTCATGTTGCCCATTGTTCATTCTTTCCATTAAGAGGCTCAATTCAATGTGCTTACAAGCTTGACTATGCAATGCTGTGTGTTTTGATTCAGCCAACCTATTATAGTTGGATTGAACTCTCCAAAGGAATATGTAAGCCAGCATGCCATGTGGGTCACATCAATGGGGCAGGGGGCTGTTCCTCCTTACAGACTGCATCACTTGGTGTGCAGGGGGAATAGCTGGGCTGTAGCTTGAGAGGGACAGCATGAGACAGAGTGGGAGTGCAGGTGACCTAGGCAGGGCAGCTGTTCATCCTCCTCGGGGGCTGTGTGGGTCAGGATTGAAGTGCACTGGTGGGGTTGTATGTCATTCTAGCACGTGATTCATCAGAAATACTGTTAGTAGCAGCCACACAAGGAAGCAGCACTTCGACAGAGAAATGTGAGGACAGAGAGAAGCTGCTTAGTGCTACCAGACTTCAAAGCCTTAAGTGCAGGTTTCAGGAAGCAGTCTGAAGATGCGGCGATGAGTCCACCCCTTTTCCTTTGAGAGCTCAGCTTTTTCATGATAGAGGCTTTTATGAGGCTTATTAAGCGAAGACTTTGTCTGTGTCCCAGAGCAATCAGGTATGGAAATAACATGAAAGTGCTTTTAAATGAAAGAAGTGGCTGGGTGAGCATGTAAGGAAGCTTTGCATTTAACATCCCTCTCTTTCCACCCAGGGATGACTTGCCAAGCTCGCAGCTCCTACATGGACACAGAGGTGCTGTGGGGACATCGCTTCACTCCTGTCCTCACCCTGGAGAAGGATTTTTACGAAGTTGATTACAACAGCTTCCACAGCACTTATGAAACCAACACTCCTGTGTGCTGTGCCAAAGAGCTGGCCCAGTCCCGCCGGGAAGGCCAACTCCTCAGCAGCATCTCCAGTGCCACTGTCCTGGGTGGAGGCAGAGAAGCAGAGACGGCGAAAGGGGAGGAAGAGGAAGAGGAAGAAGACAGGGAGCCAGCAGCATTCAGTGGAGCCAATGGGACAGCGGGAGAGGTGAAAGAAGATCTGCCTGTATAACACGTGAGCTGCTGGGCAGTCAAAACCCACACACACAGCAAGTGAGGAATTGACTGGGAGTCAGAGACCTGAGGTTTATATCCAGATCTCTTTCCTGCTGCTTGATCCTGGCGAGTCACTGCACAGCACCGTGCCTCTGTTTCCCTTCCCTTTTAACTGTACGGCGAGGTCCTGAGCTTTGAACTCATTTGCAAAGCATTTGGATCTCTGTGGACAAGGCTCACTAAATACAATCACGGTTAAAATTGAAATCCCCACCAGTAGTTGTTTCAAAAGATGTTCATTGGACATTCAAAACATTTCCCCTTGCAAGGGTATTTACAAAGGTAAAGATCTAGAAGCTCCCATCTCAGTATGAAGAATGTGTTTTCATGCCTTCACTTAACTTGTGAGTGTATGTGTTGTAGATATTGTTACTGCTTAATTAAAAGAAGACCAAAAAACCTCTCCTGTACATCGTGGAGTTTTTGTTTTGTGATTTTTGCAAAAGAGCTTAGTTGGTGTTCTGCTCCAAGACCACAGAGATCATTGTTTATTTCTTACAAAACAGGACAGCTTTCCCTGCAGATCTTAGCAGGTTTATCCAATGTTTTTGTCTATCATCTTTGTGCACTCTTCTTATGGAACTACTGATACACTTCACAGTCCATCCACAATGAGAACAGATAGATGCTGCCCCAGTAAAGGTTTCTTTTCTGGCTGGGTGTCTCATTTCCAGTTGATTATTAAAAAAAGATATGTAGCTACCTGGGAACTTGAAATGAATTTCACCTAGAGTTCCTGGAGTAGGTAGACTGGGTAAGTGAATTTGCCAAACTCTCTTCCATAAAATGCATGCTTACAGTAAGGGTTTAGATGCTGATGTTCCTATAGCTAATGGGAACACGTGCTGACATAAGCAAAGCCATCTGGCCCCACTACTTCAAGCATGCTGGTTGGTGGCTGGCCCTGCAACGTTCTTCTTTCGTGAGGTAGGAGGTGCAAGAGTACAGAACAGGATTAACTAAAAAGATAAGATAATAGGGGGAAAAATAGGTAAAATTTCCTAGAATGGCTTGTCCTTTTTCTAAGATCCTCACTTCTCACTCTACCTCTGCCTCTGCAAAGATTTTTTTTATATTCCAGAATGTTTCAGTCTGTAGCTGAAGTGAACTCCTAATGTAGGAGAGAGTAATGGAAAGTAGAACTGTGACTGATCCATGTGAGGCAGAGGCAATTTCAGCCCCTCAGAGGGAGGTTATATAAGCTCTAGCTGGCGAGCTAACTTGTCCAGTTCAATTCAGCATGAGAGAGGGCTGGCTGGGTCCCCTACGTGATGCCAGAGATAGACAGCTTGGAAAATGGCACTGGATTGCATCTGTACCTTGCTTCTTCTACCTGTGTGATACCCTCCAGAGAGAAGCTAGCCATCTTCAAATTGCCAAAATGCTATTTCACCACTTCATTTCCCCTGAGATCTCATCACACAAAGCTGCTCTTTTCCAGTACTGTCGAGTCTGAGAAATCGTATATCCTACACCTTAGGAATTTTTGTCACTGAACATTATTAGTAGCAAAATAATTGCTGAATGTATAGTTGGGTGTGTGTGCACATCCATTACAATGACTGAGAGTTAAATATTCCTCTCTTCTTGAGCAAAGCCCTTATGCAGCTGTGTGTTTCTTGGCTCCCTCAGACTGTTCCTGCATTTGAAGTTTGCACATAGGCCTAAGCACCTTGTCGAAGAGATGCTTCAGTGTCAGTGTGAGCATGCACTGAGTATTCAGTACATACAAGGAACCATACTTTCCAGTTGCATAGCATGACAGTCAGGTATGTGGAGGTTGGGTCAGGCAGTCTGGTTGTTGCCTTCCCAAAGCATCTCAAGCCAGCCCATGTTCTCCTCCTGAGCTGCATCCCAAACAGAGGTTGATTTCATTGAGCATGTTGAGTTTTTCTGAAAGTAAGAGAAGTCTCTTCCTTCATGCAGTCATAAAGGTAAACTTCCTCTCTCCAGCAGGCAAACCTATCTGCTCAAATTTTTTATGTGCTTTTCCAGCACAACACAGTACAAAACAATGGAAGTCTCAGCAGCCAACACTGATTGAAGTAGTTTGATTTCAGGTACACATTTCTTTCCTGCAATCATTAATGAATGTTTCTGAGCAAACAAAAAACTGTATTTCTTGGCAGGATAGATGGAAAACACCTTCCTAACACAGGAGAGTTGATGAGCTGTGAATGGAGACAGGGAAGGAGAGCTGCTCACAGTAAAGGCTTTGTTGTTCAGCTTGGCTTTGTTTGGGGGCTTGGGGCTGCAGTGGGAAGGAGACCTGCAAGCCCTCATCCTGCGCATCAGCTGCTCTCCCAGACCACATCATCCAACTGTTCTGCTTTTATGCAGTGTCACAGTGCTCTCACACAGCCCAGCTGACCTGGATGTCTCCATTCACTGCTTCCTCCTGCATGACTTTCCACATTTAAGCTCCATTAGTTTTTACTGAACTGTGTTTCTTAGATTGATGTGAGGATGCATGGACATTAGAAGTGCAAGTGTTGGCATTTGCTTTCTGGGCATAATCAATAGAAACGTTGAAATGTACCTTTATTTTTCATTTGAGCTTCCCTGGCTTTAATTTTCACTCATTGTGAGACCTGTCACTCGTTTTTATGCTCAGATTTACTCCTTTTATCGTTTTCTCTCATTCATTATTATGAATATATTTCCATCAGAAGTAGCGGATCTTGAAGCAGAGATAAGGGGAATGTTATTTATGCTCAAGTAATTAATACCTTGTCATAAGCTCTGCACACTGCCAGCCATATCTGCTGCAATACAGGAGGGCGCGTTGCCAGAATGCGTTAAGCAGCAGTTTTGGGGATGATGGAGAGGACACTTAATGAGGTTACAGGGAAACTAGGCAAGCTCCGAGTCCATGCATAAAAGTGACAGCAGTTTCCATTTTGAGGCCAGCGACACAGAGATAAGTGCTGAAAGTCTGATTCTGATGCTCCCACTGGCACCAATCAGCCCAGGGATAACTGGTCACTTAGGTAGGTGCGAGGAGTGGGAAGCAGGAGCATCTATCTGGTGGCATTTTGCTATATGAAGAAGTCAAGGGCAAGTTCCAATCTCATTTATGCCAGGGAGATGGGAAGACACTCTGGTGGAGCCTGGTGATCCCTCTGTGATGCCAGCATACAACAGAGCAGTGCTCAGCTCTGAAGGACTATTGGCTGTGCTTTGGAGAGGAGGGCTGCACGTCCAGGTGTTACTGTGTGTAGGCAGATGCATACAGAGGTGGCTATTTTTGAACAGCACATGCTGTTGGAATTACTCTTGCTAAAAAGTAAAGCCCTGAGAAAGTATCAAACTCATGGTCCTGGTTGATGAAGATGCTGGGGTTCATATCACAAAAATCTGATATTCAAGTATATTCTTTCGAAATTCTACTTCGGTCCTCCAATCCTGTGAGGATTTACAGCTCAGTTAACTAAATGCAGGTAAAGCCAAAGGTTGCTAAAAAATACTATGAATCCGTGGTTCTATCCCATAATGGAAGCAAATGCCTCCCCCTTACCTGTTACCCAAACACTCAGCAGTGCCTGCAAAGGAGCGTGTGCTGCTAGCTAAGCAGTTACACTGACTATTCCCATTGTTTGAAAGGGAAAGAAATGCACCATAGGAACTCCTAGAAATAGGAAAGCCCATCAGATGAAAAACCTCATGAGAATTAGGATGGCAACTGTAGCCATCCATATTCATGCAGATTTATCACTGAATGAGGAAAAAAAAAACTCGCAGGAATGGGAAAAGTAATGATGGTGAATGCTATTCAGTATTCCTACCCCCCATGTGTTGTTCTATCACGTGTCCATCATTTTCATGCCAAACAAATGAGCAGTACAATCACTACCGAATTCACGCCCCATCTGCCTCCCTCGCATTCGGTAGCAGAGCTCAGCTGTTTCTCTTCCTCCCAGAATAGAAAGAGAAGAAACAGATGCCAGGTGCAGGCAGAGAGAGCCACTGCCCAACCGACCCTTGAAGGAAGGCCAGGAGGGGTTTGTCTGGATGGGATGAGGCTTCTCTTTGCTGCCAGGCTGAGTAGAGACAGACTGCATGGCTGAAACAGCACTCAGATAAGGAGAAGGGAGTGGGTCTGCAGCTCTGAGGACCCTTCAGTAACACAGATGAGAAGTTTTTATCACATTTATTCCATGATATCAGGTTTTACTGAATCATAGCTGCCTCTCTGCCTTGTGCTTCCCCTGCCTGTTTTTCCTGCCCATCTGTTCTCAGGCTCCTTGCAGTGAAACCGTGAGCTGCGGCGTGCAGGACTGCTGCTGTTGTGTCTGCAGAGCAGCCAGCAGGGCTGAGTCCTGCAGTGATTCCTGTAGCACACGTGATAGACCACCAGAATAATGAACTGAACAAACAACTGGTCCTTGCTGGTATAAATGAACAGCTAGCCTTGAACAAACTGCTGTGCTTCATTATATACAATATCAAAGAATGCAGCATAATTGGTGGCTAAGGCAATGGGCTGCGACCCAGAGAACTTGTGTTTTATCCCTGGCTTCCACTGACCTCCTGTACAAATCAGTGTGAGGCAGTGCTTACACGTGGTGCTTTGTTTGTCATATCTGTGTAGGCTGTGGTTCAGGAAGACCCACGAACATGTCCTGAATTTCAAGCTGCCTGATTTTCCAAACTAAGGCTCGATGGCTGCAATTTAACTGAAGCAGGAGCTACAGCTTATTCTGTTGTGGGATTTGGGATACTGTCACAGGGCATCAAATAGCAACAAGTGGGTCATGCTCGTGATTTCAGTCTGATTGCTGTGGTCACTGATGGAGACAAGAACCAGGAGAAACTTCAGAGACACAACACTGGACGGCTCCCAAGCTGTGTCCCCGCACTGCACAGCCCCTACAAGCAACGCATTCAGCTTGTGCCTTGTTTTGATGGTTGATGCAGGATGCGTGTCGTGTTGGGAGTAAGGGCAGTTCCTGTTCCTGGAATGGTAATCATTCCATTTACATAAAACATATTCATTAAACTGCCTGAGCACTTGTACCCCTCGATGAGTTTTCTCCCTCACCACATCTTGGCTGCTTCCGGCTTGATTTATGGCCCTCCTGACCTTTTCATTACTCGGTCTCTCATGGATCCTGTCCTCTGTATGTTACCACATCAGTTTTTCTTGTCCTGTTTGACATTTAATTTTTAGTGACTGTAGTGTAGATGAAGTTGTTTTTCTTTGTTTTGCACACACTGTTCTGCTGCTCTCTAGGCTGTAGAAGCTGTCGCTGTAGAAACACAAGGGGGAACTTACTGCCCTGAAATTTTGAGGTTTTTCAGCAGCAAACTGAAAATTAAAGCTGGGGGTGAGTCTGATAATGTCCCCTTGGGCTGCTGGGAATGACAAAGTGGGTACATGAAAGCTACCCTCATCAGGAACCTGCAGGTCCCAGTGTGCCCCTCAGCATCCCA